GGGGGAGTGGGAGAGGGAGAAGCAGGCTTCCCGCTGAGCAGAGAGCCCAACATGGGGCTCAATCCCAGGACCCTGGGACCATGACCTGAGCTGAAGGCCGACGCCCAACGACTGAGCCACCCAGGTGCCCCTATACAACAATTTTTTATACAACAATTTCTCATGGCCCAGGGAGCTGGACCTATAGGTCTGAACTGAATAGTCTGATGCAAATTATTTCTGCTCTGCAACAGGTGCAGCCACAGGGCAGAGCCAGACTAGATGAGACTGCAGACATGGGATATTAGCTATACTTTTGCATTGTTGGCGGGGACCACACCAAGCTTGAGAATGCACTTACTTAAGCAAAGTACAGCTCCAGGGAATATTTTGAGCCCTGATAATGAAATGGTCATTATTTTGCATGTGGCATGTATTTCAAACTTCTCACTCTGTTCTAGAAAAATAGCTCATCTTTTAGATACTTTGCTACTTAAAATCCTTTGTAGGACATAGTTTGGGATTAGTAGCCAGAAATAAAAATAGCATGGAGTCAGGGCCTAAAAATCTACAAGTTTAGAGAAAAATAATCATATGTTGGTAAAAGATTCCACTAAAGAACTATGCTACTTTCCCATTTTTAGAAAGGCAAAAATCTGTGGGAGGATGTGGAAATGGAAGTTGTTAATGGGTACTGAGTTTCAGGATTGGAAGATGAGAAGTTCTAGAGATCTGTTGCACAGCAATGTAAATATAGCTAACGCTACTGAACTTGTGCTTAAAATTGGTTAAGATGGTAAATTTTATATTATATATTTTTTACCACATTTAAAAAATGAAAAAAACAAAAAGAAGAAGAAAAACCTATGAATGCCCCTAGTGGTCTCAAAAATACCATTTCCCACTAAAAGGAACAAAGACTCTGGAGAAATCGCTGCTTCCAGGTCTGGGGCAGAAAATGTCTAAGATGGAGCCTGGAACATCTTAGCATATTAGATAACCAATATGAAGACAGTTCCCAGTGACCAAAGGTGGGTTTCTTATTGCTGCTGTCATGACTAACCACTAACTTAGTGGCTTAAAACAATACAAATGTGTTCTCTTACAGTTCTGGGGGTCAGAATTCTGAGATCAGTTTCGCTGGGCCAAAGTCAAGGTGTCAGCAGAGCTGGTTCCTTCTGGAGACTCTGGGGGAAGAACCTGTTTCCTTACTTTTTCATCTTAGAGAGCTGCAACCCATGTATTCCTACACCTTCAAAGTTCAGCCCTCCCATCTCTGCTTCCATCATCACATCACCTCTTCTGACCTCCTGCCTCCTTCTTATAAGAACCCTGTGATTACACTAGAACCATTTGGATAATCCAGGATAATCTCCCCAAGATCTATCTATAAAATCCCTTTTGCCATATATTTTAACATTCACAGTTTCCAGACATGAATTTCTTGAGGGACCATTACTCAACCTACTTGTAGACTATACAAACATTAAGATAGTGACTACAATGAACTGAAATACACCAAATATCTTTAAAACTATGAGCTCATAATTTTTTTAAAGATTTTATTTATTTGTGGGCGCCTGGGTGGCTCAGTCGTTAAGCATCTGCCTTCGGCTCAGGTCATGATCCCAGGGTCCTGGGATCAAGCCCCGCATCGGGCTCCCTGCTCGGCGGGAGGCCTTCTTCTCCCTCTGCCACTCCCCCTGCTTGTTTTCCCTCTCTCACTGTATCTCTCTCTTCAAATAAATAAATAAAATCTTAAAAAAAAAAGATTTTATTTATTTGAGAGAGAGGGAGAGAGCAAGCACAAGCGGGGGTGGGGAGGGGGGACAGAGGAAGAGAAGAGAGAGAATCTCCAGCAGACTCTGCACTGAGTGCAGAGCCCAACGCGGGGCTCAATCTCACAACGCTGAAATCAGAACCTGAGCTGAAAACCAAGTCAGATACTCAACCAACTGAGCCACCCAGGCGCCCTGAGCTCATAATATTTTAAAAGTCTAATTAATATTAGATGATGCTAGGAAGTCAACTCTTTTGAAAACTAATAAAGGGAAAGAATCAAGCATTTATCCTGACTTTTCTATAGAAACTGAACTACTGGTAACCAGATAGTAGATGGGACAATTTTCCCTTGCCTCCTTATACTCTTTTATCTATTTTTAGAAGTATTCAGCTAATATATGAAAAAAGGAAAAATAGAACATAACCATTTTGCAGCACCTAATGAATTACTGAGCTTAAGCACCGAGCCATCAGTGGTTGCTAACTTCACAGAGAGAAAGACTTTGTGAACTTCTTGATGGATGAACCCTGTGGTAGCCAGCCTCCAAGATGGCTCCCAATGATCCTTACTTCCTAGTATTCAAATCCTTGTGTAATCTCCTCCACCAATGAATAAGGCTGATTCTGTAACTAATAAAATATTGCATAATGACAGTGTGCAACTTCCAAGGTAGATAAAATACATCCTTGTGGCTTCCACTCTGCTCTTCTGGATCAGTTGCTCTAGGGGAAGTAAGCAGCCCTAAAGAGAGAACCATGTAGTGAGAAACTGAGGCCTCTCATCAAAAAGCCAGCACCAGTTTGTCAGTCATGTGAGTGAGCCACCTTGGAAACAGTCCCTCCTGGCCCAGTTCAACCTTCAGATGACAGCAGCACCAGGTGATAGCTTGACTGCAATCTCATGAGAACCTGAGCCAAAAGCATTCACCTAAGCCATTCCTGGATACTGGACCAACAGGCACCATGCAGTATTAAACTGATTTTAAACCTCTAATTTTTGAGACACCTGGGTGGCTCAGACAGTTAAGCATCTGACTCTAGATTTCAACTCAAGTGATGATCTCAGGGTCTAGGATCCAGCCCCTTGTCAGGCTCCCCACTCAGTGGGAAGTCTGCTTCTCTGCCTCTCCCTCTGCCCCACCCTCAGCTCGCTCACATACACTCTCTCTCTCAAATAATAAGTCTTAAAAAAAAAAAAAAATCCTCTAACTTTTGGGGGCAATTTGTTAATGCAACAATAGTTAATATAAGCAACATCATCTATGAATTAGTCTTATCCAAAGTAATCAAATATCAATCTGATGAAGCCTCAAGTCCTACTACCAATTTATAGGAGATACAGAAGACAGAGAAACATGTTAATCTACACCTCAGGGATACAATCAGAAAGTCTAGACCACGAAAAGATGTAAAGGACAAAGAACTCCATTTCTTCAACAGATAATTTACAAGGGAGAAAAAAATGAAGTGAAAGAAATGGAGGGGCCCACAGAAGAGTCTTAAAAGAAATTTCATAAATTGGTGTGAATAAGGCATGAACTTTACTTAGATCTTAATCCAAACAACATGTGAGGAGGAATTGGAATTTGAACAGACTGGATCCTTGATAACTTTGGGGAGAGGGGAGTGGTTTGGGTATTATAATGTTATTATAGTTTTTTTTTTTTAAGTCATTATCTGGTAGAGTTACAAAACATTTAAGAAAGAGATGTTATGATGTCTGGGATTTGCTTCCAAATAAAAGTAGAGGGCAAGTGGTTGGGGTCTAAATCAAACAATATTGACAACAAATTGGTAATTGTTGAATCTGAATGACAGTCATGTTGATTCATCGTACTCTTCTACTTTTGAATGATTGAAATTCTCTACAAAAAGGAAGCCAACAACAAAAGTACCTGAAAAAATCAGAATACAACTTTTTAAAATTGTGTGCAAGCTAAGACTATCATTTAGACCTAACGGCCACTTTGTTACTTTTGCTTCTAAAAGCTGAAATCTTTCAGGATAATGAAATCGAGGTTTAGAAAGGGATTACAAAACATTTTATTATCAATGGGTATATTATCCGATATAACCCGATGTTAAGCCAGGATCACCCTGCCTTTGAGACTCAAAATTGACTCAACACCCTTCCTATAGATAGTGGGAGACTCCTCACCTCCCTAACCTTTCCAAGATTTTACTCCACCTGTGATGAAGGTAGTAAAGTGGCATAGAGAGATGTGTGCAAATTTTTCCTCCTCACCTTGGCCTGAATTGTTTCTGCTGACTTATTTCAGTGATGAATCATATTCTACACATACTGTTCCTTTTCTACTTCTTGGTGTTGCTCCAGACCATGCACTTGAGAAGTCATCTTTCTCACTTAGTATTTTAAGCTTTTTTTCTTTTCCCTAAACAACCAAGTTGTCTTCTGAATTACTCTGATACTAATAAAAACAGGTTTTTCATTCCACTACACAGGTGACATAATGGTTATATGGATACAGGACATTTAAAGAAAGAGATATGATACAGTCAGAACAAGTTATGAAGAAACTGATCCTTGGAAGAAAATGTTAAAATATTAACAAAGCTGTTTTTTCTTCTAGGAATGGAACTAAGAGTGATTTTTTTTCTTGCTTCTACTAATATCTGATCGACATTTGACCATGGAAGAATTTTTTTATAGAAAGATAGCAACAGGTATATATCTAGATGACGTAGGACAGAGGAACAGGCAGGCAGAGGCCCAAACTGAAGATGAGGATGACCCCAGCTTGTTCATCTTTCTGAGACGTAGAGCCCACCTTTTGCTAGGATCACAAGTTGGCTGATCCTAGCAGAGGGCAGGCTCTAGGTCTCAGAAAGGGGAGCACTTTTCTACCTCATGGTCTCTCCTATAAGCCTCCAGCAGCTTCAGACCTGATCTTTGTCTATGAACTCATGATGCTTCTGGTGCTTTTCCATCAACCTTCCTCATACACAGGTAAGCCATAAAGGTAAGATTTACCATCATGGCAGACAATAGGAGACATCAGACATCTCCATAGAGACTAGGTGCTTTGTTCTTTTTTTTTAAGATTTTATTTATTTGAGATAGAGTGAGAAGGAGAAAGAGAGCACGAGCAGGGGGTAGGACAGAGGGAGGGGAAGAAGCAGGCTCCCCTCTGAGCAGGGAGCCTGATGCGGGGCTCGATCCCAGGACCCTGGGATCATGACCTGAGCGGAAGGCAGACGCTTAACCTACTGAGCTACCCAGGCACCCCTGGGTGTTCTGTTCTTAACTATGACTCTGACTACTAGCACAGTATCAGGCACACACTGGGCACTTAAAAAGTTATCTACTGATCTAAATAGCATGACTTGAGGCCTTCTGCTCCTTGCTGAATATCCTTCACAAGAACCAATTTTCATTTTACAATTAGAGGTTAAAAATCTTAAAATTCCAATACTTCATAAAATTAACAAAGAGATTGCGATTTTATAAAAACTCCTGTCCATCTATTTAGTAACTATGATTTTCCAACTCTGATAGGATACACAAGGGAGAAGACTGCCACCAAAGACATCACTATTTAGGTCACCATTTCTCCTGTAGCTACCACACTCAACTGGACATGGAGATCCTTATTATGCGCAACTATGCCTGAAAAGATAAGCAAAAACCTGTGAACCAAAGGAAGATTAACACTGCTTCCCATTATTTTAGAATTTTTAAAAATAGTTTTTAATGTGGGCAAAGTTAATATCTATACACCTAGAAAAATCCAAACGTAAAGGAAAAACAACTCTCCCATCTGCTTCTGACACCTGATACCCAGCCTAGAGACAACCACATTATTATATAAAATTATCCATGCTTATGCCAGCATGAACATGTATTTTCACACTTTTTTAAAAACACAAATGGTAGAATATTACATGATTTGCTTTTCAAACACAGCATATTTATTATATAGGAACATAATTCTCTGAAAATTAAAAGTTGATACAGTTTCAAATTATTTTTAATCAGTCACTAACAGAAAACAAAAGTAAAGGCAATTTCATTATTATACATTGGAACATAAATCACATTTAAGCACAAACCTAAAAAACAATAGATTCATTTCTCATCTTTAACCTGTTTCTTCTCACTGTCTTCTCCCATATGAAAAGTGAATGGTTTGTCATAACCCATTAGATGGTTATAATCGTCAGGGTTTGGAAAGAGCCCTGGATTAACTAACAGTGATTTCGTTTTAGCATAAAATGTGGTAAACACATGTGCGCTGTCTGGAATCTTCACGTCATTCTGGTGAAACACTGTACTCGTTTCTAGAAGCACAACATTGTAAGTAATGGCTTTATAAGTGTCTGTTGTAGCTTCATGGTACAACCGAACGACGTAGCCTTTTGTAACAAAGTGAAGCAGTGCTGGAGTGATCACTGTAAAGCTTCCTATGATGCCATAAAATAATATTTGCAAAGGCACACTTCCAAATATAATACTGTTTTGTGCAAAAATGTATGGTAGTAATGCAAGGCTGATGACACTTGTAGAATAAGAGAAACATTTCACACCTAAACAAGAAAAAAAAAAGGGACAGTATTAATATTTATAGATTTTATAAAAGCATCAATCTATCCAATTAATTCTTCCACCTTTCTTCTTCTACCATCATCAAAACAACAAAATCAAAACACATATATAGTGATTATTATTTTCCAAGATCTGTTTTAAGTACTTTACATACTTATATATTTTATTCATGACATCTTCAAAAAAGCACTATGCAACAGATGCATGACTATCATCCTCATTCCCATGTAAGACATGAGAAAAACAAAGCACTTGCTCAATGTCACAAAGCTACCTACAGGCAGGCAGTACTGCGGTTCAAAGCCAGGCAATTTGACTCCAGTGTCCCGGCCACTGGCCAAAACACTGCTCTGCCTCTCCATGTAGGAAATCTGCTTTAGGGTTAACTGGCCTCCACCTCAGTTCCCCAATAAAAGACTTAACATTACTCAAAGATCCTTATGCATATTATAAATGTTAATTCAGTTAGCAGATTATTAAATAAAACTCTCTATTAACAAGCACTTCCACATGCTTAACATTAAATGTTTAAATATGAGACTAACATTAACAGACTAAGTGCCCAGGATTAAAACAGCAAGTTACCAAAAAACACACCAGTGGTTAAGAAATACGTGGGAAATATATTCAACTTCTTTTACCAAGAAAAGACATTCAAGTTAAAACAGTGAGATTTTTTTTTACCTGTCATATTAAAAAGATTAAAAATCAATGACTTCTCAAATGCATATTTAAAAACGGTTCAAATGGTAAATTTTATGTTATGCATATTTTACCACAATAAATGACTTAAAATGTAAATTTCCTTAGTTTGATTGTATAATTTTAACATGATCCCAACAAAAACACCATCTGTTCAGAAAACAGACAAGTTGAGATCCTAGACAAGTTGATTACAAAGTTAATTTGGAAAAACAAAAGAAGAAAAAAAAGGTGGGGAGAGGAATTAGATACTAAAACATAAGACTATAATTAAAATGGTGTGGTGCTGGTGCACAAATAAACAGATCAATGGAACAAAATGGGAAATCTAGAAATAAACTTAACTGCATATGAAAATTTAGTATAAAGATATAATCTCAGGGCATCTGGGTGGCTCAGGAGGTTCAGTGTCCGACTCTCGATTTTGGCTCAGGTCACGATCTCAGGGTTGTGAAATTGTGCCCCACACAGGGCTCCGTGCTCAGCGCGGAGTCTGCCTATCCCTCTCCTTCTGCTCCTCCGCACACACTCTCACTAATAAATAAATAAAATCTTAAAAAAAAAAATCTCAAATATGTGGGCAAAAGTGGTGTTGGGACAACTGAATAGCCATATAGAAAAAAATAAAATCCAATTCATCCCTCATATCATCTACCAGGAAAATTCCAAATTATCCCAAGATTTAAATGTAAAAAATAAAATCATAGAGCTATAAGAAAACATGCATGAAGTCCTTTATAATCTGAGAATGGGAAAACTTTTCTAATTATGACTGAAAACACAGAAGCAATCAAGGGGAAAGACAGGTAAATCTGATTACATTATAAATGTACATGGACATAAACAAAGTAGAGACAAATGAGAAAAATATCTGCAACTTCTATCACAGAGCGTTAATATCCCCAACATATAAAAGGTTTCTAGTATGTGAGAAGAAAAAGATCAACAACCCTATCCACACACATGCAAGAAATATAAGCAGACAGCTCACTGAACCAAAAATGCACATGGTCCTTAAACAGATGAAATGTTAATAAACCTCAATCATAAGAACATGAAATTAAAAGCACAGTGAGATGCCAAAAACTAAAAGTTTGACAACATACTCTGTTGGTAAGACTGTAACACACTCTCATGCACTGCAATTGGTTGAAGGCTTAATTATCTTGCATCAGTAATTTAAAAATAGTTCCTTCCTTCCTCCCACAGGTAGTTGCTATGACACTGGTACACATACAATACAACATAGATACAATGGGGACCAAGATGCCTCCTATATATAAGCCTCCTCAGTCCTTCCAACTACCTCTTTTTTCCCCATGACTTTGTTACACTATGGTGGGTTGGAAAGTGTACCCCAAAATTCATGTCCACCCAGAACCTCCAAATATGATGTCATTTGGAAGTAGGGTCCTTGCAGATAATAAAAAATTGAGATGAGATCATCCTGGAATAGGTTGGGCCATAAATCCAATGACAATATCCTTATAAGGACATAACAGGACAGAGACACAGAGAGGGCCATCTGAATTAGGAAGCAAAAATTGGAGTTATGCAGTTATGCATCCATAAGCCAAGGAACACAAAGGATTGCTAAAAGCCTCCAGAAGCTCGAAGAGGCAAGGAATTCTTCCCTAGAGCCTTCAGAGAGAACATGGCCTTTATCAACACCCTGATTTCAGAATTCTAGCTTTCAGAACTGTGAGAACAAATTTGTTGCTTTAAGTCACCAACTTTGTGGAAATGTATTACAAAAGCCTGAGGAAACTAATACATACATATACTTTATTTTCCCTGGATTGAAATAATTACTATTTTGTTTTGTTTTATTTTTTTTGAAATAATTACTATTTTTTAAACATATTCTGGGCTTTCCCATCTTCATGTCTTTGCTCATACTGCTTCCATGCCTGAGATGCCCTTCTTTCACACCTCTTCATGTTCAAATTCTACTCATCCTACAATAAGACTACTATGACATCAGTAATTATTTATTGATGAATTAACAAGAACTATCAACTAAACGACCCTTCAAATGTCTTTAAACGAGGCCCCATTCGGTAGTTTAAAGAATCTCCAAGAATGGTACCTCTATCCTAATGCCTCTCACTCAGTTTTACATAGAAAAAATGTTTCTCCCTCAGTTTCTACATAGAAAAAATAGTAATCCCTGAATAAGATACAGAGTATTGAAAGAATTCAAACATTAAACTCCTATACAAGTTATATTTCTAGAACTTTGAATACCATGAACAGCTATGCTCTTCTACAAACATAACATCCTACCCACACCAAAATTAATTCCTATTTATATTCTCTTCTTTACAGAATGGAGTCAAATGCAAATAAGAAATAAAGTAATAAGCCTTCCCTGCATCTGAAGGAACCGTGTCTGTTCAGAAGGAAAGGTATCATGGGTGTCACTGTTAACACCTCCCAATACTATAAATCCAGGTATCCGAGGCCAGAGATGGGACATAAGCTCAATGGCCTACTCACGTACTGACTTCTGAAGAAATTTCTAATCACCCAAGATGGACTTTTCCAGTAACTTCAGAACTCCTCTCAATAGTGACTATAATAAGTCCTTACTGCCAAAGTTTTAAATACCTAAAATTATATTCTATTTTGATGCCACACATTTGAGAACATACGGATTTCCAGAGTAAATTTTAGATGATCAGTGACACCAGCATAACCAAAAACAGGAATGCAAATGCAGGTGCTGAAATCTTGTGGCCGATTTGACTATAAAGTAATCCTTCAGATATTTCAGGTTATACTTTAAGATTACTGAAATGAAATACAATCTCAGGAACTTGAACAAAACACATATCGAAGTTCTTCTGACCTCCATAATAAATCATTCCATACTAAATACCAAATTAAGAACTAAGGAAAGAGCTTCAGATTTGTAGCTATTTAATATACTGTCTTGGGCGCCTGGGTGGCTCAATCAGTTAAGCCTTCCACTCAGCTCATGATTCCGGGGTCCTGGGATCAGGCCCAGTATCGGCATCATTGGGTTCGCTGCTCAGCAGGGGGTCTACTTCTCTCCCTCCCTCTGTACTCTCTCTCTCTCAAGCAAATAAGTGAAATCTTTAATAATAATAATAAACTGTCCTTGTCTTCTCTAGTACTCTACACCACCTTGAAAAGCCACTAAATAAAGATGTTTCTTGAAAATGCTAAGGTGACCTCAAAAAATGTAAAAGAAATATATTTTTTAATCATAAAAGTATTATATGCTTATTTTAACTGCCAAATTTAAAAATATGCAAAGTAAATGTGTACCCTCCCAAAAAAACTACTCTTAAAAGGTATACTTCCATATTTTTTCTCTCCATATTCAAATATTACACAAATATACACTGCTTGTTCTATTTTGCTGTTAAACATCTTGAGAAGTGACCAAAGGATGGAAGCTTTAGCACCCAGCAATAAGATCACAAAGTCCTAACAGTCTTAAAAAATCTTTTGAGGGGGTGCCTGGGTGGCTCAGTTGTTAAGTATCTGCCTTCAGCCCAGGTCATGATCCCAGGGTCCTGGGATCAAGCCCCGCATCAGGCTCCCTGTTCCGCGGGAAGCCTGCTTCTCCCTCTCCCACTCCCCCTGCTTGTGTTCCTGCTCTCGCTATCTCTCTGTCAAATAAATAAGTAAAGTCTTTAAAAAAAAAAAAAATCTTTTGAAAATCTCCTAAAAATGCAAAGGTCCCAACCTCTAAATCTTTTTTTTTTTTAAGATTTTATTTATTTATTTGACAGAAAGAGAGATAACAAGAGCAGGAACACAAGCAGGGGGAGTGGGAGAGGGAGAAGCAGGCTTCCCGCTGAGCAGGGAGCCCGATGCGGGGCTCGATCCCAGGACCCTGGGATCATGACCTGAGCTGAAGGCAGACCCTTAACGACTGAGCCACCCAGGCACCCCTCAACCTCTAAATCTTGATTCAACAGGCCGCAAGAAAAAAATATATAACCTAATTTCTCCTCATATCTTGCAATTAAGAGATGTTAAAATAAGAGATAACACATCCTGAGTACATTTTTTACAACTAAAAGGGGGGTTAAAAAGGAAATTACCCTCACTTCTGGTTACCCACCGAATACTGTTCTCGCCAGATTCCCAGTATAAATCAGCCTTCCATCTTCTGATTTTTCAAGCTGTGTATGTAAGCATTGAATGCATCTTTCCCAACAAAGAGGTATCTATTGAAACAGAGACCATTATAATGTGAGTACATAATAAAGTGCATTTTAGACCAACTTTTAATTTTTTTAACTTTTTTAAATTATAATAGAGTAAAAGAAAACTTGTCACATGAGGTGATTTAAGGAATTCTCCCAAATAATCCACAGAGCTGAAGAAATCAAACTAACAAAATAGCTGTCCTTAACTCCAGTCACAAAGTGTTTTTTTGAAAACCTAGGTTTGCATCCCAGCTCAAAGCTTTTTAGATAAAGTGTGGCCTTGAACAAATAAAAAAATTTTAGTGGAATAATTCATTCTGTGGGTAATGAAAACATCATTCTTGTTCCATTGTCAAAATTTTAAATGCATTAGCTTTTCAAAAAATTGATGTTAATATAATGTAAGTAAAACACTGCAAATGTAAACTGTTTCAAGTCCAGACCGTTTTTAAGATTTCTAAAATGTTTATACTATAGCTAGTATTAAAAAGAGAGAGGGGCGCCTGGGGGGCTCAGTCGTTAAGCGTCTGCCTTCGGCTAGGGTCATGATCTCGGGGTCCTGGGATCGAGCCCCGCATCGAGCCCAGCATCGGGCTCCCTGCTCAGCAGAGAGTCTGCTTCTCCCTCTGACCCTCCCCCCCTCTCATGTGCTCTCTCTCTCTCATTCTCTCTCTCTCTCTCAAATAAATAAATAAAATCTTTTTAAAAAAAAAGATTCCTAAAGCCCCACAATTGATGACAGGCAGAGGGCTTGTTTCTAGAAACCAAGCCCTGCTGATGAAACATACTAATATAGTTGATTACTGAGTATTATTAGTTGAGTCATTATTCTAGTAGTAAAAACTTGATCATTTAGGACAATTAGGCCATGGCTAATTGTTAACCATCAGAAATAGATGAGAAATTGAGGTCAATGCTTTTACTTTAAGTGACCTAATAGACTCCTTTAGTAAAAGCAAAGAACTGTCCTCTTTGACCTACTGTATCCTGCCACTGAGAACAAAACTTGTTCTTCAACTCAGGGATGTTTGGGAACAAGTTTCAACCCTAGGAGATTTGAGGACATTATCAAACAAACATTTTCAGATAACTGAGTTAGTTCTAGGAAACATAAAATTCCAGAAATCATGTATAGGAATACATGCTTCATACACTTGCATTTATAATTAGCAGTTTATGGTAGTTGGTGCAAAGTTGTGAGACTGATGTTTTTATCATAATTTCATAAAATGTGGCTATGTCCTCGAAGTCTTTAAAATAAAAATTGTTTTAAGGATTAGAATTCATATTGACTAAACGTTAATGTGAAAGATGGAATACTATCTCCTTCTTTAGTCACTCCCTCCCTTCAGTATAGCCCAGAATATTTCCATAAACTTAAATGTTCTTTCCTAGAAAGAACAGTTTTCATTGTGGTTGTCTGAAAGCTCTAAGTTTATTCGATGCCAACATCATGGGAAAACATGAAAATAATCAATCTTGGTCAAAAGCATGGTATCACTGAATAACTTTATTCTCTTAGAAAGCTCAGAATAGTACTATCTGTGTCTGTGGCAGGTAACACTATTGTATGAAGCTTCACATTGTTAACATTACCACATAGTTACCATTGTATTGAATACCTGGGTCACAGAGAGAGAACCTCCTTGCCTTGTGGAAACTTAAAGCTAGTAAGCAAGACAAAATGTATCTAAAAAGACTTGTAAGCATTTGCATCTAATAGTGAAGAAAACTGTAAATTCCACAGTGGAGGAAAAATGGGGGAGGGGTACCATTTGCTAAATATTAAGACTGCCTACACCAGAATTAAATATAGGATCATTGTTATGTTGAATAGGCCAGAATGAGAATTTTAACACCTCTTGGGAGCCATAAATCCAGTGACACTATAAGCACAATTCTGGGCAGGATAGTTTGAGGTCTTATTATAAATTGGAATTACCTAACTTCTGTCAATTTGTATTACTTTGTTTTCCAAATTAATCATATTTTTTTACATATAGTTAAGAACTAATCATCAGGCTGACCATCGTTCCCTTATGAGCTGCTTGGTTCTACTTGTTGTTTTGTTTTGTTTCGTTTCGTTTTGTTTTAAGATTTTATTTACTTGACAGAGAGAGATAGTGAGAGCAGCAACACAAGCAGGGGCAGAGGGAGAAGGAGAAGCAGGCTCCCCGCCAAGCAGGAAGTCCGACGTGGGACTCAATCCCAGGACCCCGGGACCATGACCCGAGCCGAAGGCAGACACCGAACCGACTGAGCCACTCAGGCTCCCCGTTTTGTTTTTTTAAGATTTTATTTATGGAGTGCCTGGGTGGCTCGGTTAAGCATCTGCCTTCTACTTAGGCCATGATCCCAGGGTCCTGGGATAAAGCCCAACGTCATTGGGCCCTCTGCTAAGCAGGGAGCCTGCTTCTCCCTCTCCCTCTCCCTGCCGGTCGGCCTGCTTGTGCTGTGTCCTCCTCTCTCTTTGTCAAATAAATCAATCTTTAAAGAGAAAAAAGGAATTCATAATGGTCTTTTTAAAAAAAAAAGATTTTATTTATTTAGAGAGAGGGGCCGCTCACAAGTGCGAGTGGGGGTAGGGGGCATGGGGGAGAGAATCCCAAGCATAGAGCCCAATGCAGGGCTCGATACCAAGATCATACCCAACTGACTGAGCCACCTAGGTGCCGCCCCTTTTAATATTTATTTATATAAGTAATCTCTACACCAAACGTGGGGCTCAAACTCAAAACCCAAAGATCAAGAGTCACGTGCTTTTCCAGCTGAGCCAGCCAGGCGCCCCTATTTGTTTCTTTTTAAAAATCAAACTTAGGGGGGTGCCTGGGTGGCTAGGTCCTTAAGCGTCTGCCTTCGGCTCAGGTCCTGGGAGTGATTCCCAGGTCCTGGGACTGATTCCCACATCGGGCTCCCTGCTCAGTGGGAGCCTGCTTCTCCCTCTCCCTGCCACTCCCCTGCTTGTGCGCGCGCGCTCTCTCTCTCATATAAATAAATAAATAAAATCTTTTAAAGAACTAAAAAAGAAAATTGTATCTTAGATGTGACTTTTTTCTGTGTTTGTATATGTTTAAATTTTTCCAAAATAAAAAAAACTTTTTTTTTTTTTAAGATTTTATTTATTTATTTATTTGACAGAAAGAGA